CACTGAAGAAGATAGTAGTGGCATTTTGACTCAAATGTGAGTTTATTTTCCATAATAAAATATGTCAATATTTATCCTTACTTAAAGCATAACTTTCTCATATAACGGAGCCAATATTAAGGGAACTATCTATCTTAGAAACATATAAGATGCCATTTTTCATTGTCTGGAGACTGCAAAGCTAAGAGATATTGTATCTGCAGCTATATGAGCATAGCTCTTGAGACAGCTTTGATAGGGAGACATGAGGTTTTGCCATTAATCATTCTTTTACTGCTGCTCAGTTTCAGTCATTAACTTGTAGTGCCCAAAAGGCTTAAAGCACAGAGAATTTGCCTGCTGCCAGTGTAAAATCACCAATAACAGCTTGGGCTTTTTAAAAGATATGTAGCAGTTTGTGGGTTTTTAAAAGCAGGATGAAGGTAAATAACTCTTCAAGGTTTTGAAACTTGTGAAACTAGTTATAAATTGTCAGTGTGAATATTGATAAAATTATTACAGTACCCTTTAAAAAGATGCTCACATTCAAAGCCTGGCTGCTTTTCAACAGAAATGAAATCAGCAATGTGGCCTTGAATCAAAACCTTACATCTCTGAGGCTTGAAATAATGAAAGATTAAAAATGCAGCTCTCAGTCTCCATCTTTACTCTGTTCTAAACTTTGAATTAACTTTGCCTGGCAAATTGAAGCTTTACATTTACAGCTTGGCCATCCAGGGAAGGAAAGGGTCAAAGCCCTGCAAATGTCATTGCTTCATAGTTCTCAGTACACCAGGGCAGATACATAATTTTATGCAACTCTCTTTCTGAATAGAGTTAACCTTTTTTCAAAGGAAAAGGAAATCCTTGAATTAAAAAACTGTATTTTTCCTCATATATTTAATCTTATTAAATTGTTTGTGCATGACTATCAATGAGTTGGTACTAATCTAAACACCTAGATAACTATTATCACCTGCATCAGAGAAATTAATCATCTTTTTCATTTGCTGCCTGGCTAACATACAGCTGATAATGGCAGTGCCATTATCTAAGGTGAAATCCAGATCTAAGGAGTGATGTGCAATATTTAGGTCATGTAAAACAATAATGAAATATGTTGATAGCTTTGAAGACTTTTGTAGGAAAGGGTAATGGTTGAAAATTATTCTCTTGCATGAGACTGGTCGTCATTCTCTGTAAGGACCAAAATAGCTTACATGGACCACATACATAAACCTGAGTTTCAGTGGCTGTGAACACTGAAACACAACCTCAATAAGAGCACAAATAGCTCCAAATGTCTTGAAATAATCTAGATTCTCCTACTCCTGGCTACCGTTTCAAATGGGCCAGGTTGTTGGCAAGGCCAACAGTGTATGGTGAATTTGATTTTAAGGTGAATGTTCTCCCTTTTTAACCTCAGTATTTTGTCTGGAGACCTTCCTGCTGATGGCTGTCTAGGGTAGAGATTACATTTCAATCTGGTTAGAAGTGGAGACTGAGACCTCAAATCGCTGCCTCATAGAATATGGAGCAAGAAACCTTTCACAGGCAGGGAGATGGCAAAAGGCAGCTTAACTTTTACAACATCAGACATCTGTCTGTTTTTACAGGATCCATTGTAGCTTTAGGGTGCTTAATGAAGACATTTTTTCCAATTATATTTGATCATTTTGTAGCTATAGAATTTTTTCCAGGCAGAACTAGTGTGACTCTGTGGAAATGGGTACCGGTCCCATAATAAATGGGGACACCATCTTCCACCAGGTTCGAATTTGTCTTTCCTTCAACAGGTACACCACTGTCAACCACAGCATTCTGTAACTCTCACCTTCATCTTTTCATGGGCACAAACATCCGTATTTACCACCCAGTTTTCCTGAAGATGCAACTATTAAGCCTTATTGCTGATGAGTCTGGAGTCTGGACTTCCTTGGAGTCTGGACTCCATGTTTGGCAAAAATGATACTTCCAAAGCTGCACAAGAGTGCAATTTTTGAAGGTGGATGAATTCAGACTAGTCCTATAGGTGCTCCCAGAGATAAAAGCAATGTCTCTGTTACATTGCTGCAAAAGCATCACATAGGGTTCACTTTCATTGTGGCAGAAAGCTTCTCAGCCCTCTTCACAGCTACACTGGTGCATTTAAGATTTACACAAGAAGACACAACCAGACACACATTTGTGAGCATCCGATAGGTCAGCCTGGCAGCCAGATGTGACACATCTGCAGTACCTGGGGACCTCTGACCACAGCACAAACTTTACATTCTCCCTTGCACACTCCAAACTGGATGCACACAGCTCCTAAAGAGCAGATTTGTTGAGGCTTTATAAAGAGAAATCTCTCAGCCCCATGTGGCATAGTGTATGCCAGGTACCACATGCAGGAAGGGAAGCTGTGGTGGCTGCTTGGCATTGCCCTTTAGAGCCGGGCAAAGGGGGCCCTGAGTGACAGCTCTGCTTCTCCCAGAACCTGATTCAACATGAGGAGCAACAGAGCAGCACTCATGAGCTGATGCCACTCAAATCAGAGTGGGCCTCACATTTTTGTGGTCTTGCTCTATTAATGACAGTGAGAGAATGCGGGGGATCAGGGGAGGTTGCACAGGTTTCATCCCAAGTCCCAGATGTGGAGTGTGGGAAGTTCATACTGTACACACATGTCCACTGTAGTTCTGTTGTGGCCATGCAGGTCTCACTGAAAACAGCAACCTGTCCTCTTCCTTGTTCTGTGGTTCCTTCCATGCAAATCTATCAACATTTTCTTTCTTTCTTTCTAAATTCTTCACCAATATTGCACATGGACTCTCCCTAATTAACTAATCTTACTTCTGAAGCTCCAAATTTTAACCTTTTTTGCCATCCTGGGAGAAAGCACAGGTAGTGCCATAATACCCATGGATAAATTATTATTATTATTCACCATACATTATTAGCAGCATATGCAGTATATCAGCAGCACAAAATTCTTATTTAAACACATAAAGTTACACCAGACCAAAGAATGGTGGGACCAATCCAGGGTCATGGGAAGAGGAGGTGACATCCCTGAGAGGAAAGCAGATTATCCTAAGTGGGAAATGAGATCCAGGATAGACATGCAGTTCTTATTTTGGCAGCACTATCTGGACAGCCTGAAAGCAGTCAGGACAGCACTGCCTCTGGAGACTGTATCATCTTCCCTTCAATATAAAACAAAAAGCAGTGACCTCAGGTCCACTTAGACATTACCTTTGGGTGGAAGAAGTGTCATCTTGCCTGGGAATATCAGTCAGAAAATTTCCTGGGCAGTTGTTTCACTAAAAAAAGCTTCCTTCTAAGACAAAAACCAAGTGAGATCTGTTTAGAGGACATACGAGTACAAAGATTAAATGAGGTGAAGAAAGCAAAGGTTTAAGAAAGGTGTTAAAACCTGAACCCTTCTGACCCATTTTCTTTCCCCCACGCAGTTGGTGATGTTTCACTTTGGTTGCTGTGCTGTTATGAGCAGGATGGCTCAGCTCAAATGAAGAGTTGTCAGATCTGGCTTGGAAATCAGGCATATGGCTAAAAAAGGCATTGTCATCATGCTGGAGAACTGTCTCAGGGAGGCATTACCTCAGTGACCAAGCTGTTGACACAAGGGAACTGGTCGGTATAAAGGAATACAGGCTTTAAAGAAAATCAATCCTCAGCCCTTTCAATTTTAAAATGACATGTTAATTTAATTCCAGGAGAGATGTGGCATAATGAGCTGGTCAGGGAAACTTCACCTCTGAAAGAAGGTAATTTTGGCATTGGGTAGTGAAGACAGTGTCTCTCTTTTCTCATCTTTTCAGCTAAAAACATTAGAAAGGTAAAAGATCTCAGATCAGGTTAATGCCCTGTGTGGATTCTGCCATTGGAAATGGGCCTAAAACCTTACACTTTTGGGGACAATCTGAGTTCACAATACAGAGGTGTTGTCACTTACCCTTGTATTGGGCAGAGACCTCTGAGACCTCAACTGGTTTCATTGAGTTGAACATTTCTGATATTCATTGTTTCTGTTCCCCTCAGCAGATCACCAGACCCTCTGATAAATAGGGCAAACCCTCCCTGGCCATGGGTTAGCACTGGGCACACTCCCTTGGTAAGGAGTGAGGAAGTTTCCACAATGTGTGGATGGCTCTGTGCAGAGGCTCAGCCCTTTGGTTGGTGGGTGGTGTTGAGGTACCAGGGTGCACAGATCTCCAGTGGGTACCATGGCTTTGAATGCAGGGGATGTGTGGTGACTGACTTCACGATGACTGACTTCTCCTCCCAGCAGTGTTTAAAGAGGTATCCACAATAACATACAGAAGCAGTTACACACAAAACTTGGTAATGCTTGATGAGCTGCAGGATGACTCATATTTGTTAAGCCTGAGGGATCTGCTTGTCTCTGAGGCCAGGGCAGCAGGAGCCAGTGGTATGTCCCAGATTGCAATCCAGCCAGATCATAACTGGGGCAGGAAGGGGAGTTCCCACCTTAAAAAGAGAAAACCCAGCACAGCGTAGGTGTATCCTGCCCCAAAATGAGGCAAGGGTTTCCTGATCCCACCTCTTGAACAGTCAGGGGAACAGGGGCTGTGTTTGCTCACAGGAACAATAACACCCACTTTTGTTGGGCTCTGACATCTCTGAACAAGGCAGAGAGGAGAGGAACTCTGCTCTGAGTGCTCCCAGCCACCCACTCAGGAGAGCTCCCTCACAGCCCTGCACACTGCTGGCCCTCTGGCCTCCCACCATTAATCCAAGTAAAACCTTTGTAAATATTTTTTGGCACACAGCTTTGCAGACAAGCAAATCTGAGCACATTTGTAAAGTAATTAACTTCCTTACAAATTGCTTAGATTTGCTTCTCTAATCATAAAAAGCCACACAATACAAATAGCACTGGCTTTCTCATTACAGAAATGACCCTGTTGCTATCCACAGTTGTCATTCTGCTAGGCTAGGATAGAACAATTAGAATTTAGAGTCCTAATCATCATTCTTCATGCACCCCTCACAAAAGTAAATTTCTTGGGACAGATCCCAGGGTGCAGAGGGACTGCTGTAAAACTGAAGCAATGTCATTGTGTTCAAAGAGTGAGAGAGAGATCAGAAAGCTCTCTGCTGACTTCACAAACAGTTGACATTTATTTATTAATAGCTCTCACAGACCAATAGTTTGTCATCAGACTTGACTGTCAATTACTGCAGAAATCCAGCAAAGGGAATCTCCAGGTTGAAGGAATCAATAAAAACATACCCAGGTAAAACAATGGCTTACCAAAGGCAAAACAGTGTGTATGGCTTGATGGAACTGAAATGCAAATAATTATCTGGTTAGCATGAAATTAAAAAAACTTGAAACTAGATTTTTAACCTTTCTTCTGATTGCCTCTCATAAGGGTTTTTATTATAACACTTCACTTAAGAGTCTTATCTTTCTAGTAAATGTTTGAAGTAAAGACTCAAAGTTTTGCATTCATGTTCTGGTTGCCTAGTGAAAAGCAGAATTAATGAAATGTGATCTCCATGTGATTGCTGGTGGGTCAATTTTTGCCATGCTTATTTCAGAGGAATACAGCTTATCTGCTTTCACTGAGCCTTGAGTTACATTAAGCTAATAAAACCTTTGGTTCTTCTTCACACAGACTTAAAAGAAAGGATCTTATTTGTGTTGTGCTCCTTGTACCTTTCTTCAGCTTCAAACCCATGCTCTGTCAAAAAAATTATCTTTAGTATAAAAAGACAGTGCAACATGTATGATTTAAATTCATGACCATGGCAGAATAGTATTCTTAAACTGAATTTTACACTCTGAGCTGTTCTCAGCACAGGGTCATTTCCAGTTTACAACATGTAGAAATACACTGTTGAAACTGTTGTGTTACTAACCACACACATCTTTTCAAAACCTTGCTTCTCTTGACTCTGAGTTTGGGGAATAACGCCATGGAGTCCAGGCTTCCTGAATCATACAGCTGGGGCCAGGCTTCTCTCCTCTCTGCATTTCCATCAAGCTTTATTTAAATTCCACCTAAGAAACCAAGATCTGAAAAGCAATGGGTTCTGCAGAATTTCATGGTGACCAGAGGGATAGAGGAGTGTTATTGGACAAATAAATAAAAAACTGAATAGTCAACATATCAATTACTCTATTCTCTGCAGAATATGCCACTGGGTCTTGGCCAGTACAGGCAGAGTTCAAGATAATAACATTTCACAGAGTGTGAACCAGTTGTAAAAGTAGAAAGTCTACTAAACGTTACTACTGAATATAGGATACCCATAAATTTGTAGATTAAATCAATAAAAACCTTTAAAAATCAAGTAGAACATTGTCACCAGTTATAGCAGACCAGATGTTCAGGCAAACAGACATAAAAACAGCATCACAAAGATTTTCAGAATTATAGCAAGGGTGTATTGTATCAAAGTTGGTATGTGTAAAAATACCTGTACTTACTGAAAACAGTAAGTGAAAGCTGAGCCACCAAGTATATACCAAGATTTAAGCAAACACCTCCTGCATTTACTGATACAGTTCTAGAGCAAATGGTTCTGGTGAAGAAGCAGACAATGTTTCAGGTCTATATTCAGCCTTAAGTCTAATCTCTATCCCACCTCAAAGACAGAGTGAGATAAAAATGTTAGGTAGGAAACGGCTTTGGTTTATGTACAGTTCACCCTATTTCATGTGACTTCTCTGGTAATGAATGATGCCAAAGGATCTGAAGAAAAATTGGTGGCCAAACCTCCTCTCACACCTCTGGAGATGTTCAGATTGCAGTGTTAACTGGATTTAATCTGACCTGTGAAAAAAAAGAAATCATAACTAATGAGGAGAATGGAATTGTTATCCCTTACAATCATTCCTGCCAGATTTACCATTAGTGCACACACATACTTAACTATGATAAGAGTCCTTTTGAAATGTACTGATTGTAGCCTCTGAGAGCTAAATCTCAGTGCCCAGCACTGTAATTAACTCAAGATTTATTCATTTATCACGACTCCTGAAACAAGCATGTCTAATTGCCTTTCTTTATTAATACATTCAAGAATGTTTAACATTTTACTGCCACTTAAACAAGAGTTCTAATAAGATACTGTATCAATTAATGGTCCTGTTAAAAGTCAACTGGTATTTTTACAATAGCAGCAGAACTCCTTGTTACACATTAAACACTGTGAAGCAATCATAAGGTCTGTGGGCTTGTTTGGAAAGGTACATTGCAACGATACACTGCCAAGATTTTAATAAGCGTCTCCCACAAGACATTCCTTCCTTAAGAGGATAGTAAAAGGCTCTTAGTTTTGGACTTGCCCAGAAAAGGAGACTGAAGGAACAGGAATTCCACTAGTGTGTTTGTCCTTTAAAAGCAATATGCTTTTCCAAAGCCCTAAGGATGTGAAGCACTACACTGCACTGCCTTTGTTTGGTTCTTGAAATGTGTTGGCCTTACAGACTGCATTTAGTTTTTTGTTTGGGTTTTTTCAGGGTGTTTTTTTGGAGGAGATCATCAATTGGAGCCAACCTGAGACTGACTAGTACATGTCCCCACCCCTATGCTCTGTGCTCAGGGAATTCCTCACCTCTGGGAGTGTGATGCAATCCACATCTGGGTGAAGGCTGGTGCTGGAAACTCCTGGCAACCCCTTCCTTGCTGGAAAGAGCAGGACTCGAGAGCTCTCCTGCACTGAAGTGGTCCTGTTTGGGAGCTACAGCCCAAAGGCACAAACAGAGCCTCCCAGAATGCCTTTTTAGCAAGGCGTACAGCAAATTTTTTTAGAGGTGGACTGGTCTTCATCTAACTTCTATTAGGATGTTTTTTTCAAAGCTTAAGGCCTGGTGATGATATGGGTATAATTAAATAGTTGACTACAGTGTCAGTTAAAACAATGGCCTGTGATGTCAGCAACACACCACAAATGCTCTGCATTGTTTTACAGTGGCAATTTTCAGGACATCTTCAAAGAAACCAAATTGAATGATGCATGATGATTTAGCAATCAAACTCAGTTACTTACTTCAATATTGGCCAATAAAATCATGCTTTTACTTACTGAAAGAATCACTATAAACTTTACATGTTAGATGCATAAGTCAATTGAAGGATTTTTATTTCCTTTGTGAATCATAGAATCATAAATTTCCAGAAGCCACTGAACAGGGAAGAGCTGAAAACAATTAAGTGGGAAAATACTTACTCACTCAGGCATTGTGGGTAGAGTATTCAAACACCATCAGACACCAGGAGCTACCATTTTGGAGACCACAAGTCTCTTTAGATTTATTTACTGGAAAAGAAATCTATGACCCTGGAAGATCCAGACCCTCTCTTTTCCTTTTTCTTTCTGGTTTCCAGGCAGCCTCATTTCACAGGGCAACAGCAGAGACAAGAGAGCAGAGAGCAAAAGAGGGAAGTCCTGAGAGGTTCTTCATAAATTTTTACTCCTGATATTGTGGAACACAGGGCACACCCCATCCTTCAGCATATTTCACACTCAAGTATCCAGCAGGGAAAATGACCCTTGGAAGCATGCAGTAATCGAAGTGTGTGTATCCATACACTTACCTGTCTCTACCTGCAATATTGAATAAGAAGACCTAGAGTGGCTCCATTCTGTGAAAATGACTTGATGAAGAGGCAGTTTGATCCTGTAGATATATTTAGGGTTCACAGTTTGATCCTGTAGAGTTCTTTAGGGTTCAGCCACCTACAATGTCATTGGGCTTTGCTTCTCTCTTTCATTCCTGTGTCCCTCTAGTGATAATGCCAGCCCAAGAGAAATAGTTTTCTTTTCAGGAGGGTTTGATGTGGTCTGCTTAGGCATCCATCCTTCAGGAATCTGACATGAGGTCCTCAGAGGGCATGTCCATCCTAAAGGACCAGAGCAGAGCAGGAAGGAGACAGTTAAACCAGTGCTGGATCAGAAACAGTGCAGTCACACTCAGGCTTATGCGCCTTCCTTGATAAATTAATCTGCTCCAGTGGATATTATGCTAAACAGATGATTCCACCACATGAACCAGATCATTTACTGAACTGAGCCTTGTAAATACTCGAGAGAAACAGAATACTTTCATTTGTTTTGTGGTCCAAGAATGTAAAACCAAAGAGTTTCAATCTTCATGCCAATGATCCTATGGAACCCACAAGTGCTCCTTGCCACAGTGACAGGTTTTGTATTCAGGGAGCCACCTGTAGTGGGATTCTGTTGCCCTTTTAAAACAAAGACTGCATAATTGCTGGAAACAAACTGCTTGGCTTGGAGGGAATGACTTGTGATATTTTAAAAGCCATTAAAGAATACTTAGCAACCCCATTATCATCTAATTATGACATGGTAACCAGTGGAAGGAATTGACTGCCTAAAATACTGCCTGCTTCTTCTATCTATCTTAGCTGGTCTAAGAAATTATTTTACCCCTCACTATTAAATGTGCTGGTCACATCCCTCATATTCATCCATAACAGTCAACTCCTCGGTGCCAGAAATGAGGCAACAGCAGTTCCCTGGGGTATTTTCTGAGGAATGAAATAAAGTGCTCAATGCAATATCATCAGGCTTCCCTAATGTGGGATCTCAGGATTTGAGTCCTGGGATGCAGGGCCCCCGAGACCACCCTTGGGGGGCCCGGGAGTCCTGGAATGTTGCCAGAAGTGTCTGGTGGCAGGACTTTGACCCTACAC